GTACAAAATATCCTAAAAGTGCTACCACTTTCATTTATCAATTTGGCCCATTTACTAAACTTAAACGTGTTTCATTAAAACATACAAAATACATTAAAGCAAAAATTTACTAAACTTAAATGAGTTCCATTGAAACATTTACAAGATACATTAAAACAAAAATAAGCCTAAGAATCTCATTCACTCATTGGTTCAGGACTATTACTAACATCAATAACTTCCATAGGACCCTCAATTACACTACAATCATTATTATCTTCTTCTAAGTACATTCTTAGCTGATTTGCTGAAGTAGATAATACATAAAACTGTTTCTTCCTCTTATCCAGCTTACCAACAAGCTTCTTCTTCTCTTCGCCCAACGCTTTCAGTTCCTCCTGAAGTCGAGTCAGTTGAGCATTCATCTGTTTTCTTGGAGGTTCTGCTTCTATAGACCTTGCCAACATGTCATACTGTATCCGATTCTGTTTTACCTTTTTGGCATTTTCTAGTTCTACCTTTTGATTCGCGATTTCGTTTTTGATGTCGTTGATCTGCTGTTCAAAGTCGCCATGTAATTGCTGATATTTGTTCAACTGATCATTATTGGCTCTAACAACTAGTTCAGCCTTTTTACGGGAATGTTCTGTTAAGCTCAATTGGGCTAAGATCTTGTCGTACATGTGTTTGTATTCTTCTGAGGAATCATCTGGGTGGTTGGTCCATTTTGTTAGTTGTTTCAGCATGAGATTGAACCTTCTGTCGTCTCCAGTACCATATCCATCGAAGATCAGCCTCCTTTTAATTACTTCCTCTGAAAATTAAATTATGTGTAGGGTGTTCACCTGTTAGATGTATATTTACTAATTACCATCAGACATTCTGACCGTGGGGTCACAAAAAATATAAATTTAAGGCAGATCAAGTTTACAAAAATCCAAACAAGCAGGGATAAACCGATATCACACTGACATCACCCGATATTTTAAGGTTATGTTTGCTTGTCAAAATTAAGAGATGAGTTAATTGAATATCCGGTTTTATTATATTCGATTAACCGGTTATTTTAGTGTACGGCAGGGTTATATAAAAAAAATTATGTGACTTTTTAAGTTGCGAAATACGGCTGCCGTTAATCGGTTATCGGATCGAAAGGTTTAATAACTCAACAAAGATTATTTTTGTTTTTTATATACCGAATAAATCATACTGAATATGAGAGTCCTGCTTTTTCAGTCGCCGATACCCCCTCCTGAGAGGTATTGTCTTTTTCATGATTATTCATTACGGTAGAATAACAGCTGATTATCTAGTAATATTATAAAATTACCCATATCGGTGAACGACACATAATTCTGACCGATCTGTCAACGCCAGGTAGACAGACGTTTTTTGTACGCTATAGATTAATTTTGTACTTGCTAACAACTCTTTTATTTAAGAAAGTTCATTTGCATACAAAGAAAAACCACTACAAGCAAGTTTTTTCCAGATTTACACACGATTCATTATTACCAACGTTACATACAAATTAAATATGTCACTAGAAGATCAGCTGTTCACCTGAGTAGACGTCAAAAAGTGATGGATACTCGTGAAATATATGGCATACACATGAATCCTGCAACAACCACTGCGCCCCGCCTACTTGACGGAGTCATAAGTCCGCCACTGGTTGCGGTTAAAACAATAACCAGTTAAATTTGCCTCGGTTACCCAATATTGATTGAGGTTAAACCGCTCTCACACGATGTGGCGAATGCCTCACAACGTTGGACACATAGCCATTCGCCACATCATGTGGGAGAGCGCTGACGGATTGCATGTGTCCAACGTTCGCCACATGGCACGTTCGGGCTCTTGTCGGTAAATTTCACCACGGTCAAAGGACCTTACAACGTTTGAAGCATGGTTCGTTACGCTCCCACACGAGATGTCATGTGTTTGATGGTTTTAGGTTAGAACCAGTAGCAGCGATAAACATTACTTGTTTGTTGTGATTGTGGTGAAGTAGTGGTATGTGGGAAATATTTTGAATTGATTACCTACCTATTCATAGTAATGTATCTTCCGTAACTAACTTTTGAGGAGAATGGATTAAATTAGTATACATACAAGTCATAGGCTGCCATACAAACACTTTTTTCATATTGCAAATATTTTGTACGTTTCGCAGGTGAGTTATGGCTGGCCTAAGGATATGTATTTTAGTAAATTATAAATTATCAAGTGCTTACAGTTGTTTCATTATAACGTCCTGTTGCAATGCGGGACTAATTGAGAAATATATTGACTTCCATTTCACTACTATAAGGATGTTGATGAAATTTTGACCCTAGGTTACTACTATGAAAATGAAGAAAAAACTCTGCAATTTTTGAAAATCGGTACAGTGGCGGTGGAGCTATCGGCGAAAAACAAACAAAAAACGGTTAAACTTCGTTTTTCGACATTTTTGAGGTTTCTGACAGGCTTACATTTTGGTCGCAGAGGACAGATCTGAAATTATTTTTCGGCGCTCGAAAAAATTGTTTCATCGTTTATTTTGTATAATTTTTCCTTCAGTTGTAAAGGTTCAAGCGCGGCACTGATACCGATAATAGACGTTGGCAACACCATGCGTCGAACGTCCGAGACTAAAAAGTTCATCTCATCGTGTAGGAGCCACACTTGCCAATTATGGGGTGTCGAACGTTGCAAACAACGTTGGAAGTATCGTGTGGGACCCGCATTATTGAAAAAATAACCGATTAACCTATAACCGGTTTCTTATCGATAACCGCCCATCCCTAGTCAAAATAGTGATGGTGGTATATATTTTTTATTTGTTCTTAGCATCAATGTTGATTTTTGTATACCTTGAGAGCTTTCTCTTAGATTACTTTGCTGAAGTATATATGCTAAAAAAACATATGTGCTATCTCGCTTATATAAAAACTACATTTAAAGATTTGAATTCCATAAGTGCTTGTCACAGATGAATAATCGAATAACGTCTTATTTTGCAATCTCAGCGCTATTATTATTACGACAGCTGACAGCTCATCATCCCTGAGGTGGGGATGTTCCGATCCACTAAAAGTATCGATACCATGTATCGATTTGTATCGTTTTAGGAAGTATCGATAGTCTAAAATATCGGAATAAAAATATCGATACTACAAGTATCGAAACCTTTCGATACGGAACACACTCTGTCGAAAATCGAAGTTTTTTCTACAGCCCTCAAAATAATGTTTACTTTTTTCAAGTACATGACTAGATTGTCAAAAACGTTCACTAATAAAAATAGGTAAAAAATAACTAGGAAATTCATTAGAAAAAGAATCATTATTTGTTTAATATTTAAACGAAACAACTATACTACATATTACAGATATGCTTATTAAACATAAAATATATAAAGCAAAAGGTATTAAAAAACAATATTACAAATAACTCAAAGTTCAAAATCTTAGAAATTCCAGTCTTGAGCACCAAGCGAATGTAAAAATAGTTATGACATTCGTTCAACAGATAATGTTTCGGCTTTGGCAGAGTATATTTCCAGCTTCAGGAAACTATCGCTCTGAGCGAACTGTTGTGCCAACAATAGAGAGATAGAGTTCTTTAAATATTTCCGAGGAAGAACTGGAGCTATTCCAGTACAAAAAAGGATTCAAATTTAGGGGTATGGTATGACTATTTAAATACAATTGTAGCTCAAGATCAGTATCTGATTTAGTATAGTATAGTTTTTCATTGTAGGCCCAAAAACATTATCAGATTTTTCAACAATATTAATATGATTTTGCCCTGCTTTTTCAGTATTTATTTCCTTCTTGTGCAACTGAAATGACTGGTTTAGGAAAGTGACTGCATATTTGCACACCAAATTGGACTGTTGAAGTGCAATCATTTAAAACAAGGGTCCAGGATATTTGGGACAGCTAAAAGTTTAATCTGTTTTATGCTTCCAAAACGTTTTGAAAGCCCCTCGAAAGAGTCAAATTTTCAATTTTTGGCAACCCTGAAATCAAAAATAAATTATGTGAGGTCGTGGAGTTGAATAGCATCAACGGTAGGAAACAAATAAAAAAAGTAATCTGAAGTTAGTCACTATTTCTGACACAGTCCGCATCGAAAGGTAACGATACTAGTGAAATGTATCGATACACCCAAGTATCGTATATAAAAATATCGATCCAAAATATCGTCTATCGAACATCCCTACCCTGAGGGTCCTTGAGTGCTTGAAATCAAATCCAAGCGAATAACCAAAATTTCTGTGTTATGTGCCGCGGTTATGATATGGTTCAAGATGACACACGGGTTGATGACGTCAGTTACACGAATCGCTTGAACGCGTTGGTTTTAACCGCGGTTTTGTTCCAAGTTGTTTATTTTAGAAAAGCGCGTATATAATCTCTGATTATTTTTATATCACTTAATAATCGGTGCTTTTTCGTCTACAACTGTATATGGAAAGTTTAAATAAGAAACCTTTCATAATATTCATGGGAGAAATGTTTTTTCAGATTTTTTTTTAATGATGGAACCATGGCTTTGTAGCTATGATAACTTTCAATTCTCTAAATTTTTCCGCATGTCAAAGAAAACATTTATTGATTCAGCAGAAATGATGGAAAAAGAAATTAGCAAAACCGTATACAGGTGGATATCATCTAGTGAGTTTATATGGCCATATTTTAATATTCTTGTGGTATATGGCTACACAGGATACTTTGTTAAGCATAGGAACTACATTTAAAGTGTCCCCAACAACCGTAATGAGTATAACTAATAAGGTGCTCCAATTTATGGTAAAACTGAAGTCAGCCTGTATCATTTTTCTTAAAAATGAAGCTGAAGTATAATAACAATATCCAATACCCGGCAAAATTCTAACTTGTCACATTTCAAATAATAACCAGAAATATAAAACTACTCTTGAGTTGGGTAAATACCACAATTTTGCGGTGATAACTATGACATATAACAGCTGATTCGTGACGTCACGGATCTTATAACCAAACTGATAACTACACTCGCTTGAACGGATTGGTAAATACCAACCCAAAATGGTAAATACCATTTCCATTTGGTTATCCGCTTGAATTTGATTTGAGTGTCCGTGAGGTTATGTCATGACATAACCTAATTTATGTCGTAACAAAACTCAAATATTTGTAACAATTTTTAAATAACTATGATTTCCTCAAAGCTATGATATGAAGAGAAAAATAAGCTAAGCATATCGTACTTCTTCATCCATGTTTGCCCTGAAACTGCACACGAATTTGGCTGTACTTCAACCTCAAGTAAGGTGAGCCCCTTTAGAAGACTGCAACTTAACGGGATATCTTTGCAGAAATACGTACGATGTCTACCGTCAATAAACTACTACGTTAACACAAAACCTTCGCCGCCTGTTGTTGGTACAGTAAACTTAGATCATGAGATTAGTAATGGTAGCAATGCGTCTCTACCTCATAAGCCAAAGCAAGTTCCAGCCTGGAGACCCACTCCCTCAACAGACAGCTCCAACCTGATTAACCACTACCTCAAGTTGTCCAAGGTTCGGCTTACCAGTAAGTTACTTTGCCATTTTCTTCTCTAATACCAGAGTATCATCTAAATCTTAGAGTAATATAATACATATAAAAAGCTAAAAGATAAGAAGAAGAGTGCTCATATTCACATCTGCCAAGTGGTAATTCAACAATAGCCTTTCCTTAGTATCCAAATTGGAATATCCAATTTTACGTTTTACCATGTAGTAGTTGTGTGGCACTCCCAACAGCAGTATATCAAGTCATATTCATTGTCCTGTTTATACTATACATTTTATCTTGCATTTGGATTGAGTTCAGCTACTATATTACTAAATAATTGTTTTTGTAGCTCTTGTAGTAATAACATCAATGGCAGGTTATGCTGTAGCACCAGCTCCATTTGAATGGAGTACATTTACCTTATGTGCTCTAGGCACTGGGCTACTTTCAGGTGCTGCAAATTCAGTAAATCAATTCCATGAGGTGCCATTTGACTCACAAATGTCTAGAACTAAAAACAGAGTGTTGGTGTGTGGAAGACTCACGTAAGTTATAGTTTTGATGCATGAATACAAATTTTGTTATAAAGTACATTTTCACCATCTTGACTTTATAAAAAAGTTATGGAATTGATTTTGTAGTCAGAAATATAGTACTACAAACCTGGTTGTAGCTTAGTTGATAAGATTTCTATAATCAATCAGTTTAGTACCTTTGATAACATTAAATTTGTTACTTTTATATTTTCTATTTCAGGCCTCTGCATTCAATGCTATTTGCAGCTGGTACCAGCATTACTGGTCTTGGTATCTTATATTATGGTGTGAATGGACTCACTGCTAGTTTAGGTCTTGCAAATTTGATTTTATACACTTCAATCTACACACCAATGAAGAGGATCAGTATACTGAATACTTGGGTTGGGTCTATAGGTAAGTATTGTTTCCAGGAAAAAAATATTTTGTACATAAGTTATACTTGAATATGCTCAAGGTATATGGAGCCCCTACTATGTAAAAGACGTAGTGGTATTTGAAGGGATTCAAAGAAGAGTAAGTAAATTAGCAGTTGACGTGGGATACTTGAAAAATTTGGGGCTGTATCATCAGCATTCCCACAATTGTAGGATGTCTTTATTGCCTCCTTGATTTTCTTTATCTTTTCTCTGCTTCAGAAAGTTTAGGGTATTTCTAGATTTTTACTTAACCCCTTCACATCCAGGTGCAATTTAAAAAGGCACTTTCACATACCAGACGAAAAAAAAATCGAAAATGAAATATTAAGATTACATAATGACATACATCTTTAACCACAGTTAAAATATTTCATGAAAGTCAAAAACAACATGGCGACAGTGATTCATATTTTATGACTATACCAGTATATCCACCATTTGGATAATAGTGGCATACCATAATATCCATATTTGGATATCCATGTAAAAATAAATCAAAGTCACATTTTTTGAACATAAGTGCTTTATTCATATTTTTTACATAAAATAAACTAGTAGAACGTAACATTGGTAAACCGCTTAAAATATAAAGTTCATTTGTGGTATTCTTGAAAATGTTCCGGACATCAAATCCCTGGCTTATTTGGACAGTCAATGCAAATATTTCGTGTTAGTTTCCTTTGGTTGTGTTTTCGGCAAATAACGCAGATCTTTCGCAATGCCCGTTTTTTTCCATCTTCCTTTGGTAAATTAACCATAACGTGTTCTTTTTGTGTTTTTTTTGAAGTTGAAGGTTGATTATAACATGAAGAAGCATCCGTCATGCAGCGATATCCTTCACTGTATTTGTGCAAAATACCATTACAGCACATTTTTATATAGTCATACATCGAAATGTTGAAATCATCTTTAGCGTTACAGAATAAAACCTTAGAATTTATAAGCATCTGAAGCATTAATTGAAAGCCCACTTTTGTAAACCAAGTATAGCTTTTTCGTAAAGAATTGTAAGGTTCCAGATCTTGATCGACAGCGTCAGCAGAGCCCATATTTTGATTATAAAGGCAGGTTTTTTAAAATGCACTTGTTTACCGCCTACCATATAGCGAGATTTTCAAAAAACCCTGCACTATGCTTACTTGTCAACAAGTAAACATCCTTCTTGTCCTTATATCGTACAAGCAGTTGCATGTCTTTCCGTACGAAGCAGGATTGGTACCTTTCTAGTGGAATTCTAGTTAACTGAGCGGGAACTCCACGATTGCTTCTTATAGTTCCAGTCAAATAGGTTCCTTGGGTAAGTAAAAATTGCGAAAGCCGCACGGATGTATACCAATTGTCTAGAATAACTTCTCGGCCACTGTTCAGTATATTTTGAGCTAAATGCACGACAATTCTTTCAGAAACAGTGAGGTTTCCGGTGCCTGGAATATGGGATACATCGAAATTGTCTTTCCCTACGTACAAACAAAAGTTCCAAGTATATCCGCGCAAATGTGGAGCGCTTGGGCACATTGCAAAAAGTTTTATGCCAAATCGATTTCTTTTTGTTTTAATATATTGACGAAAGTGCAATCTGCCTTTATAAAGCATCAAATGTTCATCTATTGCAAACACTGGTCCAGGGTCAACCAACGTCTTGCAGTTGTCTTTGAGCATGGACATATAAATTCCAAGTCGGCTTAGAGGGGCATTGTTTCTTGCTGCTTCGGGTGGCGAAAACCGAATAAACTTGAGTATAGAAAGATACCTGTTTCGACTCATAATAGACTTATTGAAAACTTTTGGACCAGCGCACAAAATGTTATTACTCCAGTAATCTGTTATGCGAGGGCACTTTACTAATCCAGTAAGAATATGAAGCGCGATGAAAACGTACATCTCTTCTTTTTCTAGTTTCTTCCACTGAACGCCATAAACTGTCCTTGTATTTGTATTTTGTTCAAAGTACATTTCAGCTCTTCTGTTCGTCCACTCACTTAATTTCGCTACGATATTTGGGCTTAAAAAACATTCGAAACAATTGACTGGATCTCTGCACTCTTCCATATCAATAGCGGGGTGAAAAGTATATTCAGAAGAAAAATTTTGCGTAGCTCTAGGAACCTGATCGGAAAAAGGATCACTTAAAACTTGCCATTCGTCCATGGTCACGTTTTCGACAAGTTCATCGTCATCGGTCTCCGAATATGTTTCGTCAGAGTCACTCATATCCGAATTATCACTTAACTCATACTCCGAATCGTCATCACTATCTGTATAATAGTCCTGGACATTCATTTTTGATAAATAAAACTTTTACATCCAAACAACACTGAGAAACACGATAAAACAGACTTTCCCGCCAAAACGTAATTTAGAGGCGTACACTACCGCGTACCAGCGTGACTACTTATGTACTAACAGTAAAAATATTTCTGTGGAAATATTTTGGATATTGAAGAAATTTGGGTGGGGATGGCTTGTATGCCATACCAGTCGGTCTAATTGATAGCAGCTCGCCATACCAGTTCCCTGCTCCATAACATAAGCCATTAACAATGATATCCATATGTGGATATTATGGTATCCAGAGAGCATATTCAAAATATCCATATGTGGAGTACTGGATGTGAAGGGGTTAAGCTACTATTTCAACAAAAATTATACAATGAAAAGTGTGCTAGGCTATTAGACATTTTTTCTTACCAAGTCAAGTGGTCTGTAGTTGGAATCAACTAAGGCAGTTCAAAAACTGCCTTGACAGTGGCAAAATATGTTTGTACACTTTACAATGCAACTGATGGTCATACCTTTTGTTAATAATGATAGTTGTCCTTCCACTGGTATGTGTAATAAATAAATAAATAAATTTCCTACATAAAAATAACCTATTGTATGCTCCAAATTATATTTTTTTTACACCGAAGCAGCGGCGCAGGCAGAAGCCCAATGCCAGGACAGCAGAACTGGGAAAAGCCTCCTCTTGTAGATTGTTCACAATATCGACACCCTAGGGGCAGAGGAGCGGTCGTATCGGCCAGTTCTGGATGTGCGAGGTTCAACATGGTTAGGATGGGAGGCCAAAGTCAGGCGAGTTTGTCTGGCAGGCACGATTAGATTGCGGGTAGTGATGAACAGCATCAATGTTGCAGTTAATCCCGCAGATGTTAGTGAAACAAATTTTATCATCGATGTTGTTCCTTGAGTCCACCCTCCACCCGGCCATTCCGAGAACTGAGCGAGACATGCGGACATTCTTAAGACACCCTGAGGAAAGCTAGCGGGTGGTACCGCCCCTCGCTCAACTGGCCCTTTGTCTACCACCTTCTTTTTGCGTGTTAATGATGTTAAATAGGCCTAATGTGGCCCGTTGGCGGACTTGTACCGCCATCCGACAATCGGTATTGAGGTATTCCTTAACGCGTATACAATCACTTGAACAGAAAGAAGTTGTATACTGAATACAACAGCTTTCGGAACAAGCATTTGCCACGACCTCGCTCAGTAGGATATGACTAATACGATTATCAACATATTGCTGTGTTCCTCAGACATTTGGAAAATACACCCATTTTAGAAGATTTGTTTGTTAATCCCAGTTGAAAAATCCTGTCATTGTAAATACTATTATTGTTACTTTTTTTAGTTGGAGCTATCCCACCTCTGATGGGGTGGTCCGCCTGCGCAGGCACTCTAGGTCCTGGTGCCTGGCTCATGGCAGCTCTGCTATACAGCTGGCAGTTTCCTCATTTCAACGCGCTCTCGTGGAATCTGCGTCCGGACTATTCCAGAGCCGGCTACCGCATGATGGCCGTCACGGAACCGATGTTGTGCAAAAAAGTGGCCTTGAGACACACTGTTGCACTGCAGGCCATCTCTATGCTGGCGCCGGTACTTGATACTACCAACTGGTGGTTCTTGCTGGAAGTCACGCCGTTGAACGTCTACTTCATCTACCTCGGTAAGATACTAGATTAAGAGCTAAGAAACTTCTGCGCTTTCCCAACAGCGTGACCTAGCGGATGTCGGACGGAAATGTGTGCTTGACATGTGCAATATTAAACATAAACGGATATCATATGAAAATATACATTTACTCGATTTGTGGTCCCTACCAATTTGAATCTCTAACTCAAAATTCTCTTTTGACCTATATTCCACTCTAAGGCTGACGATGTTGCCCTTTATCCACCCTGTGCGCGGCTATCTATTTAGTTCCCCCCACTATTCACTTCACTTCCAGTGAATAGAGTAAATGTGAGGTATGTATGGATATATGTTGTATAGCCAAATATCAAGCTTGCTACCGAACATAATATCTTACCAGCCAATTAACATGTGTTTTTTTGTCAGGACTCTGTATAATCACAAACCTGCTCAAATGTGGACTTAGGCCCGTATCATCAGTCGCCCCTACAATTGTAGGGCGCGTTTATGGCCTTGATTGTCATACTCCTTTCTCTCCTTCAAAAATTTCTAGATTACGCTTGTCCCGTGTCAGCGTCAGCGCTCTCCTATTGTAAAGATATGTTTTCTTTTTAACTTGTAGGAAATTTCAGGCTGATAAAACATGATATAACACAAAAGCAAGCACAATTTGATGCAAAAAGATGTTTGTGACATAACCTCAAAATAGAGCGCTGACACGGAGAAGTAGAAAACTATGACAATCAAGGAGGCCATAAAGGCGCCCTACAATTGTAGGGATGACTGACGATACGGGCCTAAGACAGTAAAGTTTATTCACCAAAAATAACGTTAATATTGTAAAAAGAATATGAAAGCGTACACAGTTTAGAATGGTAAACAAACAGGAAACCCACAGAAGCAATTTTGTGCGTGGCATTGTACAAATTACAAAAACATTAATCTGATATGGATATGGATTTAGCGCATTTTTTAAAATTTCCAGTGCATTGATTATACTAGTGAAATAAAAGTCACTCATGTATTCATCATCATTTCAGAAAGGAAAACAGTTATACAGGGTGACAGGTAAATAGGTGTAAAACATTTTAGGAGGTGATAGTACAGCCCCTTTGCTAACGAAATTAGTATATAATACCATACCCTATATTCAAAGGTTGAAAAGTTATTGAAGATTTAAGATTTAAAAAAAAAACCATATTTCAGAGTAAAAAAGTCGAGAGAGAAAAAAGTTGGCGATTAAACATTTGTTTTTTGTGGTTTTGGGTTATTATTTCAATAATTAACTATTATAAATTAAAAAAGATTCGAAAACAATACAAAACAACGTATTTATTTTCATTCAAAAATGTTTAACTAAGAAAAAAAAATAACGTTTTACAGTAAGTAAGGTGTTTTCCAAAAAATCAGTATACAAAAAAACGTACAAACAATTTAAATAATATCCTTGTTTCATAAGGAATCTAAATTGGTATGATAAGTGCACAAAAACTGTGTGAAACTAAACATAATGTATTGTAATACAACAATAGGGAGTAAATTTACCAATGGCTTGTCTCCTATTTTCACAACTCTCTGATTGATAAGAAAGTGTTTTTGTGAAAATAATGTAACTGTAAGCTATGGGATAGTTATTATTTTGAGCTACGGTTAAGTTACACGATTAGATTATTTACACAGTTGTAATTGTACTACAGAATAATAAAAACTGACTAAAAGTTACTACAATTGGTAAGTAAAATACAATAATGAAATGAAGGTAAAATTCATTGCAATTGTTGTTCGAACTGACGCCCGCCTTTTCTTATGCAAGCCCGTAGTCTTTTTCTCATGTTGGTACGCGTGATGCGGCCAGTTAGTTGTCCTCTGATAGTGTCAGCAGCAGCAATAATTCTTTCTTTCAACTGTGCAAGAGTGTCTATGGGCTCAGCGTACACCAGTGACTTCATGTGCCCCCATAAATAATAGTCACACGGTGTTAAATCTGGGCTCCTCGCTGGCCACGGTGTCGGTCCACCTCGGCCAATCCAGCGACAAGTATATTTCTCGTCCAGCCACTGTCTAACACCCAAACGGAAATGCGCGGGACAGCCATCATGTTGGTAGATCATCTGCATCCTGATATTCAGAAGCAGGTCTTCGAGATACTCCCAGAGTTCGGATCTCAAAAAGTTTTCATAGGATTTGCCATTTAGGTTGTCAGGCAAAAAAACTGGTCCAATTAGATACGTATGAATGATTCCCTACCACTCGTTTGCCGAAAATCTTCTTTGGGCTCTTGGCTTTGCCATGTGGGGATTTGCCTCCCGTGGGGCCCAATAATGAAAGTTGTGATAATTTGTTGTCCCCTCTCTGTCAAACTTAGACTCGTCGGTCCACAATATTTTAGTTAAATAGTCGTTTTCTTCTTGATCCCGATGAAGCATGTATCGACAAAAATCAATTCTTCTTGCGGGATCTCCTTCTTCTAATACTTTAACCGGTGTGTAATGGAAAGGGTAAAGTCTCGCCGAATGCAAAACGCACCAAACTTTCCACTGAGTTAAACCAAGCTGCTTTGCTATAACTCGTTAGACGTCGTCGGGTCTCTGCCGTAGCATTCCAGTATTGCCTCTCGATCTTCGTCGTCAAACAACCGAGGTCTACCAGCATCATGACGTTTCTCATGAACCTGTCCACTTTCCTTGACGCGTTGGTACACAGAAGCAAATACTCGATGACTCGGTATTCGCCGATTCGGAAAACGGTTTTCGTATTCTCGCCTGGCTTCAACGGAATTTCCATCACTTAAACCATAACAAAACAGTATATCAGCGTATTCTTCGTTACGGTAACTCGCCAGGATTAAAACTGATAAAAAAAGTAAAAGTACGTCCTACCGCGTTAAAGGTTGATATTCTACTAACTAAGCTAAAGGTTAGTTCCCTTTCCTTGATTCGTCAGCTGTGTCAATTCATAACACACGCAGAGCTTGCTTCCGAGGAGCGACGACAGATTCCGAATACTTAAACCGGAATAACGGCACAGGGCACAAAAAATAACAAAAAGGGTCGAACCATGAAAGGCTCGGTTTACCTGCAATGAAATGCGCTTAGCGGTCCTTTCTAGCAAAGTAATATTGTTTTGTTAAATGGTTTACTTACTGATATGTTATTATACCATTTTAGAAACCTAATGAAACGAGGAAGTTTTTGCAGTTATTTGTACATTTTCTTTATTATGATTTTTTTGAAAAAAAAAGACTTCTTAATGTGAAAGTTGAAAATAAAAATTTTCATTTAACATTTAAATGAAAATAAATGCGTTTTCAGTAGTGTTTTCATATGTTTTTTAATTTATGAGAATTATTTATTTAAATAATAACCTGAAACCACCAAAAAAGAATGTTTAATCACCAACTTTTTTTTATCTCAACTATTTTACTCTGTAATCTGGGTTGTTCTTCAAAAAAAATTATATCCTCCATAACTTTTTAACCTTTGAATATAGGGTATGGTATTTTATACTAATTTTGATAGCAAAGGAGCTGTACTATCACCTAAAATGTTTTACACCTATTTACCTGTCACCCTGTATAATTGTTTGAAGTCTGCTGGTATAAAAGATAACAAAACCAAAACTTTAATGCGGAACTGGAACGAGTATTCGAAATACTTTTCAAGAAAGCTGACAAATCCACGGTTTCTGATTTATCGGGCCTCTCAGTCCACATACAGGCCGATTTAATCGCTACTAGGCGTATTACGTGAGTTTGTTCGACCGCCAGTTTGGGAGAAAATGTACTACCGAGTGTTGGGCTGAGCATGCCTTAAATAGAAAAACGCAACTGAAATGTAAGACGAAAACGCGCATGAATGTGAACATTCGTTTAGGAATTCAATCGCGAGACTTTTGAGGTCAAAAATTAAGATATTCAATGGTTATTTCTGGTGTGTAGGAAATGCCGCTTAATTCCTAACAACACTTTTCTTTCAGCTTATAAATTCTACGAAGACGCGTCGAGTTCAACATCAAGGAAGTTATTCAGATTCTCACTACTCCACCTACCGCTAATGATGATTCTGTTCTTAGTGAATAAGAAAAAGTGGTTTGTGTTTGAAAAGACAGATGATAGTGAAGAACAAAGTCTATAGGCTGTATTATAGAGTATGTTTTATTTTGAAATAAATTATTTTATACAAGATCCTCGCATTTTTGGTATTCGCTAAAGAAATTAAGAACATAAAAAACAACTTATTGAGTGTATCCTTCGAAGTGCAAAACATATCCATTTTCAAAACCGCCATTTAAATGAAATAAATATGTAAATTGGAATTAAAATGAAGCAACCAACCAGCAAAACATAATATGTTGTTCATGGCAACGCATCGTCAAAGATTAAGATTAAAAAATCCCGTCATTTATTGATGAAAATATTGTTTAGATTAGTTTATATCTAATATTACGTATTGATTTGGCCTTGTTGAAAAACAAAATGTCCCCCTCCTTCCATGCATTGGGGCTTACTGAACGGATTTCAGCGGTCCAAGGTAGTCGTTCAAAATGGTGGACTTTGTGGTGGCTATCAATATGCAGCGCCATCTATTGGAGAGTAGCCGATCAAAAAAAATATATTCACCCATATACCTTTCTTAAATGAATTTAAGGTAATTCTGTGCATTTTCAACTAAAAATGTTAAAAACGTATCATAAAACTTTTAAAATTAAAAAAAATCGTTCATTTGGGCTACTATCGCATAGATGGAGGTTCTTTGTTATCAAACTTTGCATAAAACTTAACTAGTCAAAAGAATCTTTAGACGAAGCTGATCGGGTTTCGGGGTGGGTTTATGACAACGCACCATCAAAGATCTAGAAATTATAATTTCCATGAGAGGGGTTAAAAAATCTCACCACACCACCGTTCATCAGATCAAGAACAACTAGCTGTTGCATCACGATAATGTTCCTTGTCACATAGCAATGTCAGTAACGAGTTTTTGGTCAGTAAAAACATTAATGTGGCTCTTCAGCCTCCCTATTCGCCTGACTTAAGTCCTTGTGACTTTTTTCTCTTACCGAAATTGATATATCACCTCAGGTAAACTCGGTTTGGGACAGTCGAAAACATTCCAACGGTTGTAACCTAGCAGCTGAAGGCTATTCCAGAACCGAAGCTCTAGCACAGCGGAAGAACCGTCTGTTTTTATTACTTTTTTTTAAGAAACACGCTTCAAATGATAATGTAAATAAACTGAAGAACAGCACTGAACATTTTTTTTTGAGTATATTGAAAAATGACAAAGTTACGCAACCAGAAGTATCTTATTTGTAGAATTATCTTGTTGGAGCATGAGAGTGAGTGATGACGTCACATGACACCAGCTACCATCGATACACAAAGTGATGTGCGCGACACATGACATAGAAATAATACTGGTAAAGGGTGTTCAGATAAGGACGCTCGAAAGTTAAAATGGAAAAAAAAGAAAAAAAATTTAAGTCAGCACTAAAAGTCTATATTGATCGTAAATAGCATTCGACGACATTATGTATGGAAGATTATATCGTTTAAATGGCCACCGCGACTGCGCTGTACAGCGTGCATTCGCATGGTCCAATTTTCGAGCACTTTTCCGCACATTTCAGCGTCTACCTGTCCGAGGACGCGAATGATGTTGGCCCTTAATGCTGCAATTGTTTGTGGCTTATCCGCATACACTTGAGACTTCACGTAGCCCCACAGGAAAAAGTCTAAAGGCGTTATATCGCACGATCTTGGTGGCCAGTGCACATCGCCGCCGCGCGAAATAATGAAACCGTTGAACTTTTCATGCAGTAAATCCAGCGTTGCGCGTGCGGTGTGGCACGTAGCGCCGTCCTGCTGGAACCAGATGTCTGTTAGATCCATATCGTCCATAAGCGCGTTGCCCATAGCGTCCTCAAAAAAATATGGACCGATTACGCCGCCAGCCCAGAAACCGCACCATACAGTCACTTTAGCAGGATGCATAGCAATTGAGCAAGTCACTTCAGGATTTTGGTCAGCCCATATACGGCAATTCTGTTTATTGACATACCCATTCATCCAGAAATGCGCCTCGCCGCTGAAGATGATTTTTCGTGCAAATGCAGGATCGACTTGCAACTGCTCTAGAGCCCATGCGGCAAATGTACGGCGCTGTCCATGGTCTTGCGGTTTCAATTCTTGCATCAATTGAATTTTGTACGCGTGCAATTTCAAGTCTCGACGCATAATTGTCCATGTTGAGGTCTTTGGAAGGGCAAGTTCTTGTGCACGTCGCCGCAATGACTGATTCGGGTCTTGACGCACGCTCTCTCGCACAGCAGCAGTATTCTCGATTGTTCTTACTGTTCGTTGCCGTACGGGTGTTGTTTGGTCTGCCACTGAGCCAGTTCTCTCAAATTTATTGAGCAGACGTCGAATAGTGGACTCAGCAGGACGGCCATGCGCACCATAAATTGGACGCAATGCGCGGAACGTTTCACGAACCGAACATCTGTTTTGATGATAAATTTTCACAATTTCCACGCGTTGTTGAATCGTGTACTGCTCCATGATTAAATGTCAAGACTAACTTAATAACCTCACAAAATTTGACAGCTGTATCCCCACCGGTTTGTTCGCGCGCGCCGTTCAAACATCGAGCGTCCCTATCTGAACACCCTACCATTAGACTGGCCTTTCAAAATTTCTCCAAAATCCAGTGTTACTTTGCAAGTTATTGAAGGTCCAATGATTATATCCGAGTAGGGTCAAATTCTGATAAACGCAAATAGTTATTGTTGAACAGGTAGACGCTAGACAGGCATGGGAAACATGTAATGAGGATAAACGCTTATGTAAAACAATTAGTTTATTGACTAAAATTGAATAAAAGAAATAAATATAATGGTATAGATCGTGGTACTCTATACATTCAGGTGTATCTAAAGCATTAACAGAAAGTATAGGGTCTTTCACTTTCGAATATATGAAAGCAACAAATTATAAAATTGTCTTAAAATGAATATGTACTCTGCTATGAAGAGTCTAACATTATATACTATAATAATCAGTCATTTATTTGTGCAAGAACGTAAATATACACATTTCAGGTTGTGTCTACCAGAGTTGTATGCACTTCCAGAAATGATCAAGTAAAATTGGACAAAATCAAAAACTTGTTAATAAACGGCTGGTTCGCCGACAAAAGTAGTATTTTCGGATCTCAAATAAAATTATTTTTGGCATGCTTTTTTCAGCTGCCATCCGACCTAAAACGCATCAAACAGTCATTCAAGGGTTACAAGTTTTAGATTTAACAGTAATAAATGTGTATATATACTTTATAAAAATGTAATTTTTGTTTTCCCTCTATATTTATACAGTCCTGTTACATACATTTTCCTTATCACTAGCATAGTGGACAAATGTGAAGACAAAAAATTTACTGGGCCTATAAGCTCAACAATAATCTGTACAGAATTTTTTGTACTCAGCTATCCACTAGAATTCATATTATTCTATCTACTTGCAAGTTATAGGATTTTACTCTGTTTTATCAATTCATTACCCTAGAAATAAATAAGAGAAAAGCAACTTATAATGGACAGGGAAAGTAAAACTTGTTTTACTGTAGTTCCACAATCAAATCTTGGTGATTGTCAGTATATGAGTAGTTTTGTAATGATAAAGCTTATCGTTATGTTCCATACATTATAGCTATGATGAACTACACTATATACAGTACAACTCATTAGTAGATGTTCCCTTATGATAACGAAGATACTATGCGGAAAATCATGATTTCCAATCGAGATTAGAAAGAAAAACATTTTCATCAGTAGATGCCCAATTAAAAGAAGACAATTTGCTTGTTATTTCATTGATAAGTATAGCAGATTTTCATCATTTTGTGAATCGTTGTAGCGTTTAGTCCAATTTTTTCTCAGTGTATCTTCGTAACCATCATGATATCCTCAAAACATAACATATTCTGAGTGGCAATAAAAGGTAAACAAGTGACAAAATGGTCAAGTTTTTCTGTTAAGTTTTTGTGGTGGCTGCGTGCATTGTTTGCTGATAAAGAATTCAGTTTTCGTACATTTACGGTGTCAGTTAAGTGTTAAATTTCGTGCAGTTTATTGAGAAGTCTTTTTGTGATTGCTCAAAATGCCTAGACTGCGTGGAATTTGCCGGGTGTCCCAGATAAGTGACTTTGAGAGGGGTCGATTTGTCGGCGTGAAGCCGGTCTATCGATAATGGAAGTTTCTAGGAGTACCAACATATCCTTACGCAGTATTCTGCAGTGTAAACGAGCGTGGAGCCAGGGGTTCTGAACGTCCCAGAGCGACAAGACCGCCGGTGAAGACTTGAGAGTTAGAGACAGATTCAGTAATACTCGTGAAGAAAGAATTCTATGGGATCGGGAATAGAATCAGTGACGAATCCCGCTTCTGTCTGGGGATGCACCATGGCCGGGAAAGAGTGAGAAGACGATGTGGTGAAAGACGTGGCCCACAATTTGACAAAGAGCGTCACGTTCACCACACCGTGGGAGTTATGGTATGGGGGTGTTATTGCTGATGGTAGAACACCTCCACCAATTTTCATCAGAGGCAATATGAAGCCCGGCGCTATATTCAGGAAGTAGTGGAGCCTCATCTTATTATATACAACCGCAATGCCAGACCGCATGTTGCCAGAGCATCGTTAGCCTTCATGGATCAACATCGCATCAACCGTTTACCTTGGCCACCACGATCGCCTGACCTATCCCCAACTGAACATGTCTGGGACATGATAGGTCGCAGGCTCTTGAATGTGCAACACCCTCCACATACTTTAGCAGCTCTTACTCACGAAGTTGCAGTTGCCTGCAATGAGATACCCCAATAGGATATCGACCACCTTATCAGCACGATGCCCAGACGTGTCAATGAGTGTATAAGAAATCGTGGATCCTCAACACATTATTGAGCCAGCTTCTGCGGTCAGTTGACGAATCAAGCTGAAGCTTCACTGAACATATATGCCAAAAATGATTAAAATCGGTTAAACATACGTACGTGTTTACCTTATTTGCCACTCCTTTTCAAATAATGCCCAAAACCATTGCTCATAACATTTTGCCAGCAATTTTGAGAGGTGTTTTGAGACTAAAAATATATTTTAATTTTATCCAATACCTTCTTACACTCTGTCGTTTCCACAACCTTCGATCCCACTTATCAGTCTTGTCATTTACATTGAATAGTGTTTAGTGGCAAGTTATATAGGATGATCCAAAAAAAAAAAACAATGACAATCTCTCTAGGACAGAACACACATCCAAAAATAACAAATTCCCTATAAACATATGTACTAAATTGTCTTGTTCCTAAAATACAGGGTCTTGTAAATTTCTACGCCACTGACGAGACTGAATAAGGACAACCATCTATATGGCTCAAATTAGACTATAGTGTAATTTTCATCAAATATTCAAACCATTTTTCTGTAGGGGTCACATTTCTATCCCCCTAGTGTAGGCTCAGACAAGATTTTTTTATGTAACGACTATGCTGTTAGTACTACATGTGCAAAATTTTAACACCGAAGATATATTTTTTCGATTTCTAAATTATAACATGAACACCTCATGAGGAGGCATTTGAGAACCCATATTTATATGACCCTCTTGTATTGTTTTCTGAATCACTCTGTATAACATCCAAACGCACTTATAACGCAGAGATTCACATACCTCTTCCAAAATTTCAGCTACTTTCCAACTTACTATTTTCATAGCCACTTGATTACATTATTGTTTTATAATTTTTTTTCATAATGTCTTAAAAGATATAAGTGGGATTAATGTTATGAGATGTTCTGTATAACTATGACCCTGATAAAAGTTTTACTTACTAAGTTTCAAGTTTTAAATGCTCCCAAGTTGTTGAAATTCCATTATATTTATTTGTTTATAAGAGTATAATCATGAAATAAGAACTATAACAATCGACTGAATAACAGACGTTTTTGGTACAAACACAAAATATAAAAACAATTTATTAATTCGATCATATAAAACAGTATCTATTATTGGTTATTAAACTAGAATAAAAACACAGAGTACTATGATGTAGGAAATTATTGACTCATACGCCATTTTTTTAATCATTAATGTTCGAGATTTTATCAGATTTTCCAAAGCATTATTGTATTAGTATTCATGTTCATGTTCAAGTTCTGAAACAAAATTTTCTACATCCACAGTACTCAGAAATACTAAAACTAGAAAAACGAATATTTTAATTCAGTCGGTCATGGTATGCATAAAATGAAGGGGTTCCATGATAAAAGAAAAATCATTACATGATCTATTCAGTAGATTCACTCTCGATATAGTTTATAGGTAGTTTTGAGGTGACATATTTCCCATTAGTAATAGTGCCCACATAAAGATAAACAAGTACTTCAGAATGGCGCAAAATTTAGTAAAAAATAGGTTTGATCATAAAATAAAATTCCTTTAATAACCGCCAAAGTCAGTGCTCAATGAGATTTTTTTTTTGTAAAAGCTTTTTTTTCCAGACTATTTTTTTGTCTTTGCCAGGCTGTGGTTATTTTGACTCGTTTTGAAGTTAATACTTTTTTTATATGCCCTTTAAATGGTAGTCTGTCAGTTGGACCAATAGGCCTCTCTGTATTGGTTTTATATATATGAAGGATCAACCGGTTTCTTCGTTTGTTTTTGTGTATACAACATGGTTTTATCTATAGAAAACCAATCAAAGAAACCTATTGATCCTCCAGGCAAAAAATGGGGACCAAGATCAAGATATTTTTTCATCAACATTTTAGAAACTATTTAATGTATCGTGGTTCAAATATGATATCTGAGGTGAGATCTAGTTCTGCGTAATAGAGAACTCGTCCAGAGAGTATTGCGTCATACGAATTATAATAAAACCGAGATTTTGCATGCACGATGCATGTCAATGTACTAGAAATAGAGCTTTCTTTTTGGACAGCAAAAGCCGAGTAAAATAAATAATCCAAGCTACTATTAATTGGTTGATACATTGTGGCTCTTGATAGGTCTATACAACAATAAAAAAATCTACTGGGCAAATAAGTTCGTATTTAAAAATATAAAAATAGTCAAGGGCAATATCTCAGCATCTGATGGAAAAAAATTCTGATTTGGATTTATCCAAAAAAGAACTCTTTTAACAAATCTGGATGTTGCCTTCCACAAATTTGTCAAATATTTGTTTAAGAATATCTTTTAATCAGATCCCAAAAAATAGTTTTCATCTCTGGTAACGCGTGTTTAGGTTTTTGGGACATTCTGAACAGAACAGGTAATTTAGAACTTAAAGTTGATAGTTTTCGAGATACAAGTATTTCGACATCGAATAACAATATCAAGAAACGAGAATTTTGATGTTGCCATAGTTCCTAAATATCTTCAAACAAATATGTTTGTATTTAAAAATATAAAGATAGTCCGGCTAATATCTTGAAATCTAATGGGAAAAAATTCTGATTCGGATTTTTTGCAAGGTTTTACTAAAAAAAGGACGATTTTAACAAATCTGGATGTTGCGTGCCGCAAATTTGTGTCAAATATTTGTTTGAGAATATCTTTTCTCTCTCTCGCGTGTTTAGGTTTTTGGGACATTCTGAACAAAAAAGGTAATTTAGAACTTTCATCTAAAGTTTTCGAGATAAAAGCGCGAAAAACAATATGAAGACACGCGAATTTTAATAATCGCCATTGTTCCTAAATATCTCCAAACAAATATGTTCGTATTCAAAAATATAAAAATAGTCCGGTTAATATCTTCACATCTGCTGAGAAATAAATTCTGATTCGGATTCTTTGAAGGGTTTTATTCAAAAACAGACTGTTTCAACAAATCTGGATGTTGCCTGCCACAAATTTGTGTTAAATATTTGTTTAAGAATATCTTTTAATCAAATCCGAAAAATAGTTTTTTTCTCTCTGACAACGCGTGTTTAGGTTTTTGGAACATTCTGAACAAAACAGGTAATTTAGAACTTTTATCTAAAGTTGATAGTTTTCGACTTATGAGCGCTACAGTATTTCGACCCAGAAAAACAATATGAAGAAACGAGAATTTTGATGTTGCCATTGTTCCTAAATATCTCCAAACAAATATGTTCATATTTAAAAATATGAAAATAGTCCGGTCAATATCTTCGCATCTGATGGGAACAATTCTGATTCGGATTTTTTGCAAGATTTTATTCAAAAAAGGACTCTTTTAGCAAATCTGGATGTTGCCTGTCACAAATTTGTGTCAAATATTTGTTTACATCAAAAATTTCGTATTTTTATACTGTTTTCAGGGTCAAAAATGGGATATATTCCGCCCTTTTTCTAACACTATATCGCTTATATCTCTTTCGTTCAAAATTAAATGTGTCTTTGCATTACTCGCCATCAACTGTCCAATCCCGAAATAACCCTATCCTGTAGGCCAAGTTGCCTACTGACCAAAAACACAAGTGTATCACTACTACTAACTGGTCGCTCCAACATACTCCTACAAATTTTCTCACACGCACCTCATTTCCTGGACACAGAAATACAAATCTCGGACAAAAAATATATAAATCCAAAGTGAATCTGACTCTATCTGCTTCTCATGGAAGATCTATGATTGCATATAAAAACATCGACCCCTCCCATCTTCAGTATCCAACAAGGGTATATGACCATCCGCGACATCTAGCGGTACCAGTGACGTACGTCTCACAGACTGAAACGTATGACGAACTCGCCTGGCGGGCCACCAGTGGCATCGGGGTCATACACCACGCATTTGTGCTAGCCCACGTGGCCGATGACCCATGGCCACAAGAACGTGATCAGGATGCCAGTGAATATGCCCGTGATCAAGGCGGCTGCTGCGAACATGCCTGCCATCGGGGCGTGGCGGTCTTCCACTTGCCTGTAAATTAAACAAAATTAAAATAGGGATGTTAAAAAATAATTGAATGTCATTTTTATCAATGTAACATCTAAAATTTATCCTGTGGTCCACCACACTTCTCTGGCCAATCGAAACCACATGTGTTGGAAAAATATACTATATTGTAAACGTTTCGGCCACAACGGTGACCGTCTTCAGTACAATGACTTTGATAATATATTTTCTTCCGAGTGACACTTCTATTTTTCAAGGAGTTGGCAGGTATTTTTGCCACAAAGATCTATGAAACTAAAATTATATCCTCCTCTGTAAATGATGTCCCGACTGGATTACGAGTGTTATGAGCTTATCTGTAGCAGTCTTATATATAGGTACTGCATGACAGAATCAGATGACTACGATCAGCCATTACCTCATAGAGGGGCGTCCCTCTTGATCTTATTTTGTGAAGGTGTGCTGGTGAATTTCCATGGTGGACTTTTATTCTGGTTTATGTAGCAATGCATTTTTTATTGAAAATGTGCGGTATTCAGGTGGGAAGGGTTTTATGTAGCAAATAGTAGTTGCTATTACTTTGTTGACAGATTTCAATCCAAATAGTTTTCCACTCCGAAATTACGTTTGTCTTGTATAAACTAAGTGAATCTCCGTACAGTGGTTTTGCAGCCATTTCATTACCTTGTATGCCAATATGTGTTTTCACCCAATAAATAATAAATAAATAGCGTTTATTGCCCAACAGTTAAGGAAACCATTTACAGGACAATCCTAAGATAAATCAAAATAACAAAAACAGAAAACATCTAAGGAAAAAAACAAACAAGAAAAAGAAGCAAAAAAACATATTTCACTCAGGTGAGTAACATATCATAAATTATCCAAGCAATTTCTAGCAACTCCCAGAATGCTGTTCAAACTGTCAGCATGTCATGCTTCCGGGTGGGTTTTTGCGTTTTTTTTAAGGCTTTTGGTGTTTTCGGAGCGATGGACGAGGGTAACGTATCTGATATATTAAAAAACGGCAGATGTTTTTATACTTGTTTGTCGTTTTGGAGGCTGGACGTCCTTTTTTAGGAACGGGCATGCCTACCCCAGGCGGTCCTGAGCTATGCTGGTTTTGCGTTCTGTCATTTTAAAAATTCGTAATGATGACCTCGCGCAATATCAGCATCTTACAGGACTTTCAGGCTATTGTAGTAACTCACTGTATAGGATATTGAGAATAAAAAAAAAACAAACGAACTGTCACCTGGAAGACATAAATCAAATATATGTCATTGTACTGATTATCGACATGTAAACCACAGGATAAGTTTCAGATGTTACATCAACTTTCGTATTTATTTATATACGTTTTCTGTCTCAATGTTTTTTATTATAGATTTACAGTAGGAAGTATTGCGCCTCGTAAAAAAGTTAAATATTCGGAAATGAGCGAATTTTGGACAAAATGCCAAGACTGCGAACTTTGAGTTTGTAAAGTACAATCGAGTACTAAAACTACTAAACCACTAAAACAGAAAAAAACGGACAATGAAGTATAAATAAAAATGTAAATCGGGAGAATTGTATACAAACCTTGGTGTGTACATCATCGCCAACGAACTCCAATATCCGCTGGTGAATCCCATTGTGCTGGAAATTACCCAATAAGCCCAGTCATTCTTGATTAGCACTGGCATTACACGCTCTACACCAACCACTTGGTAGTTGCATAACAAGAAGAATGGTATATATGCGAACCGCAATACTACAGGAATCCATAACCATTTGGGCGCCGGCTAAAAAGAATTGAGTCATAAATGCACAAAGAAACATTCCGCTGTTTGCTTTCCCTATCTGTGACCGACCGTATACGATACGGCATAATTTTATCTTTGCAATTATTAGTACGGTACATGGATGAATCTGACAAATATACAGAGTATCCTCAAGGTCAGGCAATAAAGGGCAAGTTTACCTAGCAACATATACTGGGTGTTTCAAATTCGACCCTCACCATTTGGGATCTCGGAAACTGTAAGAGATATGAAGACGCTTGAATGGGGGCAAAATTGAGTATTTAGGTAATCAACAAAATGTCGCGTAGAACGTTTCGAAATTTAAAGTACTGGAGAGAGACAGAAAAAATCGAATTTTCCCAAAATCGTATCAATTTTTTCTTGACTTTATTTGTAGTGGGATTTCAAAATAACTTTTTCTTCTCTACAAGATGGCATAATTAGAATCAGAGAAGTCATACTTGATAAATTATTCAAGTCAACATAATTAATACGTTCTGATGGTATTTTCAGTTTATAAGCTATGTACCTTAAAAAATTCTTTTGTATGCGCTCTATTGCATTTATATGAATTTTATAGTAAGGTGACCAAACTGATCAAGCATAATCCAAAATGGATCATATTATGGCACATTAGATGTCTTTTAGAGAAAACATTTGAAATTCTTCAATGTAAGAACAAATGTCTTCTTGAAGTTTATTACAGTCAGTTGGCTGAGAAATTACTTTGATAATTTTCAGGTCATCAGAATACAGCAGAATATCACAACTTCTGACACAATCAGTCACTTCATTTATAAAACAATTTAACAGGAGCGGAGACAAAAATGACCCGCCTGAGGGACAACTAATCACGCAGTTATCTCAGATGCCGTTTCTCCATAGACTAGTTTGTCTTTCACCGTAAAAATACTGAATAACTTGATACTTACCCATATAACAAGACTTGGTAGTAAACTGCCCAGCATAGCCATAATGTTGAATGTGATAAAACACGTAACTGATGCGAAATACTTTTGAATAGGAAAATCTTTAGATACAGGTTTCACATCTACAAAAATAATTGTTTAGGGTTAGGAAATATAAATAACAAACAATAGTAATGTTATTCTTCTTAAACTACTAGTAAAATATAAAGGTTGAGGAAAAGCGATGCGAAATGCACCACGGCGACATTTGTCATTTGCTCGTGTCAAACGTGATACGCTACTAAAACTGTTAAAATATTTTCTAGAAGGAAGGAAGTTTCGGATCAAAATTAACAATGTTTTGTCACAATGTAAGAGTCTGTATTCCACAGGGTTCGGTCTTAGGATCAATCCTTTATTCACTTTATATACATGACGTCCCTTGTCCCAACGACTGTGTATATACGTATGCTGACGACACTGCACTAGTAGCCCAATCGTGTGTGGTAAACAGCCTGCAGAGTGCGGTGGAATTTTCCTTCATACCTTGCAATGTTAATCACCTCTTGTGCCTATGAGTGCTCCAGAGATAGCAGCCACGTTGCTGACCCCCGCCGAACCCATTATGTATACATAGTTTATAATATTTGCATATTGGCTGATCAAATAAGAATGAACCTGGACACTTGACCGTTACTACAGAAAATGCAGCTGAATGCGATCATTCTGTTTAGTCATATTTCTTCTTTCACTTTTTGTTCCAAAAGTATGCTTCATAATGTAAGGGATCTTTGTCATTTTACATTTATGGTGATCAGTGATCTGTGGCTCCCGAGTTTTTGTTGCGACAGCGAGAAGTCCTTTTACGGAATACAAATTATGACTGCCTGCGTGTACGCAGGTAAAAACCATTTCAAAGCAGGACGACGCTCCTCAATGAGCGCTAGATGGCTACCGACCAAAATTCCTCACCCATGATCATGGAGGTAGAAACCTTGCTTTGGAATGTTCGAGATGCGGTGTTGCCAAGCAAACTAATGATGCAATGTGGCGCCGCGTCGTTAGGACTGGTCGGGAATTAATCCTAAACAGATTCTTCACAATTCAAAAATGTGCACGCTCAAAATAAAACCATTATTTGGGCGTAGAGAATAAACTAACGCACGGCAAAACTGAAATGTTTCCATACTTTTGTCGTTACAAACACTGTGGTATTTTAAAGTAAACGCGTGTTTTTATTTTCAGAGAATTTGAATATTGATAAGATAAACCTTGCATTACTACGGGACCCAAAGGTAGACTTTAATATTAATATTATCTGTTCTTTCACAATTTTAATTTAGTTATATGAAATAGTTCATAATAATGTTAATATTTGTTTCCAAACTTGGTGTATGTCATTTGTATATGTCTCTTCCCTTCTATCGTTTCGCTTCGCTTCCCCTCGATGACTATGGATATTTACGGTCGTTGCGCCATTCCTCCATAGGTAGCGTTCACAGCATGTGAACAATTCCAGTAGTAGGAGTGTGAATTTTGCAAACGATTGTAGTTCTTTACTTAATAAGTATGCCCAATAACACATTTCAATGACTATTACTAATTACTTACCAGCATACACAGCTGGAAAGACGGCCAAAGTAACGAAAAACACCATAAATACATTGGCCAATTGAGGAAATGATTTCTTAAAAATTTCCCAATAGGGTGGCTTTTCTTTGATTCCAGACTTTGACGCTTTTTGTTGCTGCGTTTTATCCTTCAGTTCGAAATGCCTGTAAAATCTCTGAAAATAATATTATTCAATGAGATAAGAAAAACACATTATAAAAAAAAATTAGACTGTTTATTTCAATCTTTAACATGAGAGCACCAAACACAAGACTTTACTGGAATTAGAATCCAGAATATTGACATTTTTGAAAAAACACTGGTCTACTGGGGTGCCCACAGAATCACAGTCAATTTATTCGGCTCCTGATGGTATTGTGACTTACCATAATTACTGGTTTCCTATGATTCAGGCTTTTTATCAGCAATGAAATGATAGCCAACAAAATAAGTAGGACTGTATCAATATCAATCAATGGTGGTATCAGTCCAAATGTTATCCGATTTGTGCAATTTGTCAAATTAGGGAATAGGGAATCAAGTTAGATGTGGAATCTCTTCATGACCGACCGTGTGCAATAGCAATACTATTCCAAAATTGCGTTCGTCGATTCAAACGGCTTTACGTAAGAGCTTTCGCGTAAGAGAGTGAATGGGCATTTATGCCCCAGTTTTCTGTGTACTCTCTCGGCAAAAGCACTATTCCTGGCTTCCCTCATTGGAAGAACACGCACTGATTTTATTTTGACGTGACGTAACTGGCATATAGATAAATTTTAGGCATGTTAAATCTAAAAACGAAGACTAAAGATATGAGGTTAAACAGCAAAAGGGAAGACAAGCATCCCTATGAGGCTAATACTATCGGTAAGGAGGGCATGGCTGGAATCTCGTGCTCGTTTGTGCATTTATACGGGTACATGTCAAAAATTTTAACATAGCCTACTTCATATAGATCGAGAAGATTTGGATTTATTTATCTGATGGGTTTTATGGTTTCAGCAATGTCTGCCGCAGATTTTTTTTTCCTATTTAACTCATTTGCAGTTAATGGGGCAGAGGCATGAGGACTGAGCTGGGGGTACTCTGGGTCCCTTGAGTGACGTGGTTTGTGCGCTGTGTTTTTTAGAATTGGGTACCTGGTATATTGTGTTCCTGTAAATTCCTTACATATGGGCCAAAAACACTTTAATCTCATTATCTGACATATTATATATCATTTTTCATAACCACGTGCTCGTGCTCAGGTGCTGATCCTCTACAAGTTCATGACATGCAACAAAGTGTCGAACAGTTTTTAAAATTGGTCGTGCAAAACTGCCGCAAACAGAAAACGATATATACTGGGTGTTACAGTTTATTGTTGCATAACTTTAAGATTCGATAGAACTTTTAAAATTAATGCATAAAGTCTATATAAACACTTTCTAAAATAGTTTTTTTTTAAATATTTCGAACAATATTTGATGTATAACAGTGAAAATTGGTATACAAGGGTTTTTTGGTACGACAAAACGAACCATGGGCATAGTTTTACTGTAGCCGCTAGAGGGCGCTCTCTACTGTACCTGTAGTGTATTAAAATGACCGAAAATTTTTTCTTAGTGCAATTTTTTGCTTTGTGAATAAAAAAACTGATTCTTCGCACTTTTCAACATAAAAAAGCTGTGAGTTTTCGTTATAGTTAGCCGTTTTTGAGATATTTCGATTTTTAAGGTTCGATGCATTTTTAATTATTTATGGGAAAATAATATTTTTTTTTTACATTTTCGATTTGGGCATTACAAGTAATTAAGATGATCGTTTAGATTGTGTTTTTAAACACAGCAATAATTCCTAACTCCAAATAAACACAAAAAACAGAATATTAATTTGTTTAATTTTCCAATATTATTTTCAACAAATTAAATTAATTATTTACAACTAAAATGCTATTGAATAGTTAGGACAAACATGCAAAATATAAAGTGGTTGCTATTATTTCATCACATGCATTCCTGATTCTGTCTATTAGCATATCTCTTGTGGTTACGGGAGTCTGGTACATTTTTGCTTTTAGAAATCCCCACACAAAGAAATCTAATGGATTTAGGTCAGGGGATCGTAGAGGCCAGGCGACTGGTCCTCCATGGCCGATCCATCTTTCTGGATAATTTTCGTCCAGCCAGTTTCTAACTATTCTCGAATAATGAGCTGGACAACCATCAAGCTGGAACCAGGCCAATCTTCTTAAATCTAACATAACATCATCCCACATATTTGCATGTTCAGCCTTTAAAAATTCCAAGAAGGTCGCAGCATTTAACCTTGCAGGCAAAAGGTAGGGTCCAAATAGTCGATTACGGTAGACACCAATCCACGCGTTCACACTAAATTCATGCTGAAAATTTCTTTCCCGAACTGCATGCGGATTTTCATGCGACCAAATATGTTGATTATGAAAATTTACCACTCCACGTCTAGTGAAGCATGACTCATCGGTCCATAAAACGTTACTTAAAAACTCCCTATTATTATCAGTTCTATCAAGAATCCACTGACAAAATGTGATTCTTCGTTCTCCGTCCCCTGGCTGTAGTCCTTGCACAGGTTGCAAATGGTGAGAACGTCTATGGTCATTTCTAAGAACACGGTGAACATGGCTTGCTGAAATTCTCAAGGCACCAGAAACTCTCCTAACACTTATGGTCGGATCTCTATCAAGCTCACGCAGAATCATACGGGTAAATCTGCGCTGACGAACATTTATGTTTTGATCCCTTTGGAGATTTCCAAAACCATTTTCAATTATTTGGCGATGCACTCTTACAAATACTGAGCGAGTTGGATGTAGTCTGTTTGGAAATCTTCGTGCGTATTCTCTGGCTGCTTCTGCTGCGTTTCCATTTACAAAGCCATACACAAAATGAATATCCGCCAGCTCTTGACTGGAGAATAAAAATGGCATTTTTATAAAACTTACAAAAAAAAACAGGTAAAATAAACTAAATTTCGTGCATTCACTTTTGCAAAAAAACGTTTCAGGTTTCAACAGACAACAAAACTAACTGTCAACTCATTGACGTTTAACCTTATTCTGCTTTCAATTTCAAAAATATTTGCAGGCACAACCTACTTCTAAAAATTATCGAGATACTGACTTTTTAACGTTATTTTATCATAAATAATTAAAAATGCATCGAACCTTAAAAATCGAAAAATCTCAAAAACGGCTAACTATAGAGAGCCCAAGAGAGCTATTTTATGTTGAAAAGTGCGAAGAATCATTTTTCTATTCAAAAAGCAGACAATTGCACTAAGAAAAAATTTTCGGTCATTTTAATACACTACAGGTACAGTAGAGAGCGCCCTCTAGCGGCTGCAGTAAAACTATGCCCATGGTTCGTTTTGTCGCACCAAAAAACCCTTGTATACCATTTTCACTGTTATACATCAAATATTGTTCGAAATATTTAAAAAAGTATTTTAGAAAGTAAATTTAAACACCCTGTATTTCGGAAGCCACGCATTTTTCGACCCATGTATATATAGACTTTATGCATTAATTTTAAAAGTTCTATCGAATCTTAAAGTTATGCAACAATAAACTGAAACACCCTGTATATTATAATACCAACTGCCAAGGGAGCCGTTCAAAAATGATGAGAAAATAACTGTCACGTACATCGCAAAATTATGATTCCCTTGCGATTTGTCATGCTTTGCTGGTTTATCCTTATTGAGCAATATTTCTGTTTCTAACTGGTCTGAACAACAAAGTTGTTTACGTCTATCATGACAACAACAGAGAGATTTAGATATGAGGGAGATGCCACATGAGCAGAACCCGAAATTCATTGCTTGCGCAGTGTACATACGAGAAAGCCCCATCTTCATTGTCGACACTTACGGATTCGCGCCCACTCTATGAGTTTAACCTCCTATTTCTAGTCTTCGGGACTCCAAAGCAAAATGACTTACATTGAGAGGTAAGGCAAAGTAGGTGTCAAAGCATATAAGCAACACGAACAGGGCCGTAATAAAGTAATAAATGGCGGCCATTCTGATGTTGTCCGTAGTCATGCTGGAGACCAAGCTTACAATTGCTGCGAAGGTGCCGCTTATGTTATTTCCGAGCACAACGGCTCCTGTGTATTGCGGAGGTAGTTTAGCGGCCATACCGTATATCGTATTTTGGTAGATTCCGTTTGCCACTGTAAACAGAGAATAAATTAATAACCAAATAAGAACATAGGATGTAGCAGAAATAGAAATAATTCATTAAGCAAATACAAAATTCCGACTGCGGTAACTGAAAAGAATGGATCTATCAAATGGCTCTAGCTTGTAAAAACACTTACAAAAGTAGAGCTTGTTTCACTGAACCTCTTAATCCACTTTTTCAATAGGTTCTTAGTTGGGACAACTCTTGGTCGGCGAATGTTGTATCGTGTACCAAATTTTCTGAAGGGTAGCTGCGTATGAATCACCACTCTTAAAGTAAGCCTCGATAGCAAAAGCACGTTGCGCTCCGGTCCAACGTTCCATTGTGACTATTTAACCAGCACGCCGAACACGGCGATCAAGACCTCTCCCCACTTCCCCGCGTATACGGTTGACGCGTAATTCAAATTTGAAATGTGAACTTTCCCACTGGTATTTTGATACACAAGTCTGCGTGATGGTCCGTAATTAACGTGACAAATTTTTGTTCCTGACTTAAGGAACCCGTGTAATATTGTATGAATCTTTATATGAATAAGGACATAAACATTCTAATAGCACTTACTATTCATAAGAACAACTGTAATCATGGTTATCCAAAAAAACCCGTAGGCAAAGCCACTTGTGTCAATCATGGCTAAAGCAACTGTCACAATAAATAACACAACACCAGCAATTATACTCCAAACTACTCTCGTCGTCATGCTACCTCTGGAATCAAAAAATAAAACAAATTGTAATAGACAATATTAGACTATACTTAGGGTGACCATATGTACTTTTTCTGGTAGGACAGTACTTTTTTCGAACCTTGTACTAATGTCATTTAAAAGTTTATATCAAGTACACCTAAATGTACTTTTTGTATGGGCTAATCTGAGAAAACAACTTTCTTGGGCGGATATGTTATCTTAGTGTGAGGCTTTTGAGGACTACATAGGTCCGTTATTGAATCAGAAAGAACTGTTCGATGAAGTTAGTCTAATACAAACGAACGTTACAGAAAACAAAATTGCTAACTGGAATTTAAGTAATATTTCTCTACTGAAGATCGATGTCTCGAAGTTTTCTAAACAGAAAATGCATTCAAAAATGTAAACATTTTATGTGAGTTGTTTTTTGTCTGCCTGGGACCAGTGCGTCAACTGAGAGGTTGTTCTCAAATATTAATAACTATTGCAGTTCTGAAAAATCGTAGTTGAAGATATCTACTCTGGAAGCCACTATGCAAGTCTACATAAACTTTAATGGTACTTGCATTGAAATGTTTCATTTTCTAATGGGTAAACCACAAATTTTAAAGGCAATTTATAGTTCCCAAAAGTACAACTGGTACCAAAATGAAACTCCGAAAGGTCAAGCTAGCACGTCAAATGAAAATACTCTTTTAAATATTTACGTACATATTTTGTTAAAAATCTTTTGTTATATTGCTGCTGCATCTGTATTATAATAAAACATAAATACCTTTATTTTGCTTGATTAAAAATGTGTTAGATTTAGACAAAAAATTGCTCCAGTACCAGTGGTGATTTTCTTGTGTGTACTGTTTTTTTGTTTAAATATTATGGTCACCCTAACTATACTACATAAAAGTTATAATTTTATATGAAAAGCATAATACAAAAGTGGACTGAACTAAGCGTATTGTTTAGAAAAGTGAACTTACCCGATTTGTACAAAAATATTCATCCAGTTAAACGCAACATTAGGAATTTGTGAGCAGAATGTTAAATACTGCATAAAATTTGGTATGTAAGGGAACGTGAATCCTATATAACCTTCTGATAACTTATAACCTATAAAATACTGAAACAAAAAATTATGATTAAAGGGAACGTAGTAGAATTTAGATCCAGAATTTGCGATGTCCGAACGAGCATTGATACGTAATTAAACTCAATTTAATCTCAGCTCAACCACTGATTATTATATGTGATGTCCAACTATATATTGTATTGAGATTCACTAATAACGTCCAACAATACAAATCACAACAACGTTGCCAAGTATCGAGACAATAAATATTTCACTTTCCTTAAAAAAATATTTATCCTTAAACGTAACAGCAACCTTCCCAGGAAAGATCACCCTGGACTTCCCTGGTAGTTATTCCTACGATTTCTCCTGGTGGAATGTATTAATCAATGGTTAAACTTAGTTTAAGAGCTTCACCACCGTTCAATGAGTTAGTCGAATCGGATCTGTAAAAGAATGGATGACTTACGTCCATGGCAGTGATGAACATGTTCCAAGGCATCAAGACTCCAATACCATGTATCAGAAATGTCAAATATACAAGTTTAAATTTATCGGGCGGCTGATTGAGAGCTAAGCTCGCTTCATCCATAGTTAAGCTCCTGAAGTTCAACTCGTCCTCTGGCAAGTTATTCTCTTCCCAAGACGGTTGGAGCTTCACCGGTTGAAGGCGACTCTTATCGTTGAAATCTCCTTCAGCTGGAACAAAATAACTCAATCAATATTAATTTGTTAAACCATCGTTGGTTCTCAGGGAGGACCATAGAACCATAGCTCTTGTGTCATAGTATCAGTTCGTAAGTTTGTCAGGTCTGGTAAGCCAGAAACCAGGCAATGCTAACCCTTGCGTCTATGAGACCCTGTCAACTTTGAAAACAATACTAATTTGCATCACTGTATGTCCAAACTGTTCAGAAAATATATGAAGTTATGTCATATAATTAGGTAATAGTGTGTTTCGTTTCAGGGTTTTTAATTGTTCAAAAAATATATATTGAACCTTGAGTAGTGACCTTGTAATGATCAAGCGTTAAAGAAAAAGATGGCGTCAAGTAGGCTAACTCTGCACTTCCAACGCAACGCATGTGGTGCTGTATATGATGTTTAATTCTTCACTTAAGTTGACTGCCTTTTGGTTTAGAATTAGTTCGAAAATTGGAATTGCACATTCTCGATGTGTAAACCACAGATATGAAGCATCATCCACTTTTTGATATTCCCACTTTTTCCATTCTGAAATGGTACTCACGCCCACACCCAAATCCATTTGCCACGTTTTTAAGCAAATCGCCTCTATCCAAACGTCTGATTGTCTTAAGTTTCTGTTCTATGATAATAACGCGTTTACGTTTATTTCTATGCTGCTCCATCTTAGCGATTATGAACCTGACTGAAACAAACATACACGCACACATACCAGTGAATTCCGCACACGCGCTTGGGGAATTACCGGCAGCGAATCTAATGACGCAAACGCCGAAAGGAGAACTACCGGCGGCTATTTCGGATCATGCGCCAATTTCCCGAAAAACTTCGGTTAAAACGGAGATATTATTGTATGCGATCTGTTTCAGATAAAGCGGATTTCGGATAATCGCGATTCAGATAATTGGGTTTCTACTGTAAATTGATTATTTACTCGATGCTTCGACTATGGCCCAAATGCTTATTTTTCATTGAAGTTGGGACGCAAATGAACAAATAATTTTGTGTAGCTAAACCAAGAGAGTTATGAGGTACCTATTTCTTGATTTAATACGGGAAATCGGAGCCCATCTTACACAAACAGTATAAATTTTCTCCAGTTTGAGATACATTTGACAAGGAATTTCACATATTCATTAGATCCATTGCAGACGCCTTCTTATTGGTTGAGTTTGTGTTCCATGCGGTTTTTTCAGCTCTGGCTTAGTAAAATCGGGCCTCAGTATTCTATTTAGAGTATTTAAATGTAAGTTTCCATTAGATGTTCGAATAAAAGATGTTCAAGATTTCATTATAAGAACACCTAAATAGTTATGGAGATAAAAACCATCAAATTTGTGTCGCACGTTTATCAAACACCATGTATATGTTTCACGTAAATGTATTGACATGGGTGTATTTTAACTACAACTAACCAGATATTTACTGTTTTGATAACGCCAGTTTAATGATGGATTATCGGATTAAAACCTATTTGCACCAATTGTTTCTCGTTAATATCGTTATGAAATAACCGAGAGGTTTAGTAGCCTAATCCATGTTCATCAAACTGAATTTGTTGCCATACACTTGAAATGGTATTTTCTATTTTCAAAATATAAGTTGCAAACACTTCATCCTTTCCAGATGGCTTGAAAGTTGTGTGAGAGGCATTCACGAAATCTATTTTATTTGAAAAGCTCGTGTATTTATTTTTTTGCAACTGATCATCATGGTCTAGGCATGGAACAACTGTCCAAGGTTAAGTGTCTGAGGTTGGATGGACAAAAGCAGCATGTCGTTGTTTGGATAAAAAAAGCGGTTTCGACAAAATAACAAAAACTCTTTTAAATAAAAAAAATGGTTTCGCTTCCATTCACATAGATTTTTAGTAAACCTCTACAGAATTACTAGTGTCTTATATTGAAACTCTTGTACATGGAATCACGGAGCTCATATTTGACTATACAGATATTCAGAGAGCTCCGCACGGGTATCACGTAGTATCTTGAAAAGTGACGTTATGCTGATTTTTGTTGACATTATGCTGTTTTTTTTTGACATTATGTAGGTTATTCTACAAGATGTTAACTTAGCACTTAGTTGTACGTGTTGCCTAAACGTCATGAGGCTTGTTATTAATCTTTGGCTCTGATGTGATGTAAAATCTGCTTCTGAGATTGCATTACTGGAGGTCTAAGCTGTAAGTTGTATGTGTTGATGATAATTATATTGGGTTCTTGTCTCAAATACACTTAATTGAGATTCAAAGCTAGAAATTAGTTGCGCATCCACTTTTTCTTATCCATTCTGGAAATTACATATACAAATTTGCTGAATTTCAAAAATGAGAGAGATAAGAAATAATTATATTCACTGTACGCTGTCGAATTACAAGCCATATACATGCTATCAGTAATTACACACAAAGAGGGCGCGGTGATTATTTCCCGTAATTCTCCTCAGTTTTTCGTAATTTATAACTTTGAACATAACCTCTCTTCAGAAAGCACAACATATAAATAACCCGTCATATTCGGCATATTCAGTAATGATTTTCTCACACAGCAAATATCACCGATTTTATACACATGCAGAGCAATACACATAATCATCCAGATGCGATCTTGCTATTCAACCAACTTTCTTCTCAGAGATAAAAACTACAGACCCGGATCACCCAGCCTCACAAAACTATGCAGCCAATAATGTGTAATTTAGTTGAGTGATTCCTCCATAGATGGACGTTCACAACGATCCTAGTGAGCAAACGTGGAACGACTGTTTGCGCCCTAAAAACTATCTAGTCTGAAAGTTGACATCTTATAGGTTTTTTTGACGTTTTATATTTTTTTTACCCATGCCGATTTGGAAAAATTGTTATATAGGAGGTTTAATCAAAACAGCGACGATGTTTAGTTATCCAACGGCGAGAAGTCACCTACTAGACCGCCAGGATCGTGATAATCCAGCGGTCACAGTGGCGACTGGGCTATCAAACGTAAAATGAAATCCTAGTTCTAACCGATAGTTTTCTTACACTGAAGCAGCCGCGTTGCCAGAATTCTAAAAGCCGGGGCACCGCGGCTGCTATGAGAGGCGATTAAAGAAACTTGTTAATCCGATTTTTGAACTGCCTAACGTGAGTAGGACTGGGAAAAGCCTCCTCATGTGCGAGTAGATTGTTCCACCATCTTCAGATCTCAGGTACAAAGTTCGAGGCGATTAGAATGGCAGGGCGAAACCAGGCGGGTCTGCCTGGCAGGCACATCAGGCGGTGGAACCAAGGACGAGAGCTTTGAGGAGCAAAACCCATTGGCGAGCTAGATCACTGACGACCCGCCGGTGCGAGGGGTCCCGAAATTGACCGTTAGAGAGCCAGTCGGACAGTCTTCCTCTGAACAACATCGAACATGGATAACGTAGTTGGGGCGGCAGCACCCCAAACAAGTGAGCAATACTCGAGGCTAGGACTGCTACATACTTTCGCAATGATCGATTCTAGTTCCGGTTCTTATTTTAAACAGTACCAAGATTTAAATTTAACTTTCTATCTCCTTTCAAAATGTCCGAACCCTAGTCATAATGCAGTAGATGTGTCAGATTATGCGATAGTACTTGTTTGGCAGATAGGCAGACAGACCGACTAGCATCGTTATCAAATATTTCGAAGAATATCGAATAGCGTGAGGAGTTCTTCCTTTTCGCTGATCTTTTTCTCCTAAACTAGGTCACAACATACCGTCTCCAGCAACTGCTTTATAAAAATCTACTTGACAGATATCCCGCATCCATTTGCATCGGCACAGTTTCCCTTTTTTTACCTTTTCTCTAGAAAACATTTCCTCTTGAAAATACCTGTGGTGAGGTCAAGATAGGACAATCGATATTACTGCCCGCCGGAAAGTGGTCCAGGTCGAACTGCAATCAGCTTAATGATACTCGATACTTCGTTACCCGAGAGCGGAGCTTTATCTGGAGCATTTTCGCTTTGATATGCGATATAAAATAAGTAACAGAAATTAACGTAAAGCGGTTCAGCGGTGCAGTGCTATGCTGAATAGCAGTAGCCGTGGAATAGCTTTGAAAGTTTGCAATTTTAATCAACATACTATGAAATCTGACAGTTGAGAGAACACTGCTGTCCAATAGTGATGTGCTTTCATCTTGGTGAACTAGATCAACAGGTCGCGTTCACTAATGAACTAGTTCTAATTGGCAAACGAACTATTTTACGCAACAATGCCACATAACGCGTTCTCATGTCAATGAAGACAGCGACTTTCATGCGATCGCGCTTTATTGAGAATAGCTTGTTAGGGGAGTAGCAGTAAGAGAAATAGCTTTATTGAGAATTTCTTATTTTCTAATAAGTGATTGAAATAGCTTTATTGAGAATAACTTGTTAGGGGAGTAACAAGTAATAGAAATAGCTTTATTGAGAATAGCTTGTTATGGGAGTAACAATTAATAGAAATAGCTTTATTGAGAATAGCTTGTTAGGGGAGTAGCAAGTAATAGAAATAGCTTTATTGAGAATAGCTTGTTAGGGGAGTAGCAAGTAAAAGAAATAGCCTTATTGAGAATAGCTGGTTAGGGGAGTAGCAAGTAAAAGAAATAGCTTTATTGAGAATAGCTTGTTAGGGGAGTAGCAAGTAAAAGAAATAGCTTTATTGAGAATAGCTTGTTAGGGGAGTAACAAGTAATAGAAATAGCTTTATTGAGAATAGCTTGTTCTGGGAGTAACAAGTAATAGAAATAGCTTTATTGAGAATTTCTTATTTTCTAATAAGTGATTGAAATAGCTTTATTGAGAATAACTTGTTAGGGGAGTAACAAGTAATAGAAATAGCTTTATTGAGAATAGCTTGTTATGGGAGTAACAAGTAATAGAAATAGCTTTATTGAGAATAACTTGTTAGTAAATAACAAGTGATTGAAGTAGCTTTATTGAGAATAACTTGTTAGAGGAATAACAAGTGATTAAAGTAGCTTTATTGAGAATAACTTGTTAG